AGGTTTGCTACCCCCTCAGGGCTCTGAGGCCACCCGCAGGAGGGGGGAGCAGGGGGGGGAAGTTGGTGACTCCAGGCCTGCCAAGCACCACAATGCAGACTAAGGCACTGCAGTTTGCCAGGGGCTGGGCTGAGGGAGGAGTCAGGGACTGTGAAACCCCCCCTCCCCAAAGGATGGGCTTTTATTTAGAATGGGAGGGGCTCAGCATGGATGGGGGGGGGGGAAGTCTTTCCACACCCCTTTCCTCTGAGTTGGCACGCTTTGGCCTTAGTGTCCAGGGAGGAAAGGACAGCGGAGCCGCCTGCTGCAGGGCCCATCGCCCTTCGGGACTGGGGCTTGCCAGGCCAGTACAAGGCCACTCCCAGGGACCATGCAGCTGGGGAGGGGGGCAACTGTCTGCTGTTGCCCCCCCCGGCTGTCTAGGTGCCCCCTCACTTCCTGCCAAAGGGAAGCAAGTGGTGGGGGGACAGGAGAAGTGGGGTGCATTGTCCAGAGAAAGTTGGAGGTCCGGGCCCATCGCCCTTCGGGACTGGGGCTTGCCAGGCCAGTACAAGGCCACTCCCAGGGACCATGCAGCTGGGGAGGGGGGCAACTGTCTGCTGTTGCCCCCCCCGGCTGTCTAGGTGCCCCCTCACTTCCTGCCAAAGGGAAGCAAGTGGTGGGGGGACAGGAGAAGTGGGGTGCATTGTCCAGAGAAAGTTGGAGGTCCAGAAGACACTGGGAAACCTGGAGAAGGGAATAACTTAGAGGTTGGAGGGCAGATCTTCTGTGATGCTCATAAGAATACAGTAATATAGAAGTGATTTTTCAGGAAGAATCTGAGTGAGGATAGGATGATGCCCTGAACACTGTCAGCGTCGCTGCTTGGTGAATGGAGATAAGGCTCCCTCTAAAGTAATCTGTGTCACCCATTTTTCTGCTTAGTTTTGGGCGTAAAATATTAGCTAAATAGTTTGAAAAAACAGGACTTTGACAAAAACGTTTAGCCTTATGGTTTGCCAAAGCTACTTTTATGTCAGTCACAGCTATTTCTTTGGACATGAAAAAGGCATTTTCCCGAAGTGAATTGCAGTAGTGTAAACACCTGAAACCCTCGAGTGGTTTGGATTCTGAGCCAAGTGATTAAATAAACCTACCTGTTCTGGAAGCCTTTCTGCTTAGATTTATATTAATGCATTAACTGCACACTGGTATTATTTAAAAAGAGCAGCTTGGCAAAATTGCCTCTTGTTTTCTAAAGTTTCTTCTCAGGTTAGAATCCCTGGCTACTGCCCTTATAGAAGGAGACAGTCTCATGGTTATTCTGGTTCCCAGCAGGGCAGGGGGCGGGGTTAGCACCATCTGCGGGGAGGAGGGAATCACAGCAGAGCATTTCACAAAGGGGGGAGGGATGTTGTTTTGAGAACGTGCGGATGAGTCTAAAGTGCCTGGTACCTTTAAGAGCTTGGTCTCCAGGTAGAAAAAGATTGGGGGGGGGGAAGATGGGGGGGGCAGCGTTCCGGTTTATTGCACTTGTCCTGCCTCCTGCTATGGTGTGCGTGGGGAGGGGGAGATCCAGGAGGAGCTGGCATGTGCATAGAAACAAGGTCCCCATCTGTAGCAAAGGCAGCAACAGCTCTGTGTCCCCTCCTCCCTCCCCAAAAAAACCCACCACCACCGAGCACCCACCTCTCAGGAGGAGGGTGGGGCAATCTAGCCACGCCCAGAATCCACCCCCTCCCCAAGCTTGTCCACCTAGGTGGAGGTGGCGTAGGCAAATGGGCCACATCGTCTTCCTCCCATGGCCCATGCCGACTGGCTGGTCCTACCGCGGTAGAGAACACTGGGCGGGGGGCTGTTGCGTGTTGCCAATCAGCTGTCGCGGGGGGGGGGTATTCACCACGACGGCAGAGTGGGGTTTGCTGGCACAGTCCGAAACGCAGGCAGCGTGAAGGCACTGTGGATCCCCCAGGGTGGAGAGGGGCCGGGCCGGTGCCAGGTCCCCTTGAGTTGTAGGCGCGTAGGGAAGGACGGAGAGCGGGTTCCGTCGCCAGGGCAGAGAGTCTGGAAGCACAAGACGTCACTGGTGACGCAGAAAGCAGCACGAGGCTTTTGGAGGGGAGGGGGGGGCGGCGAGTCCCGAGTCCTGACCCAGGCGCGGAGCAAGTCCAAGTACGTAGCATCTAATAGTAAGGACAGGGGCTGGAGCAGGGACCACAAATCCCCCAGTCCGAGCTGAAGTCCGACATGAGCAGCAACCCTGTGCAGCAAAGCTCAAGCAGGGAGAAGATCAGGGATCCTAGAGGTTTCCTGGAGCGGTGTCCTGGCACGGAGTTTGTGGACAACTTTTCCCCTGCCAGCCAATGCATGATGCTGTGTACATCTCCTGCCTCTTCCTCCCATTGGAAACTCACAGATTCCTGCTAGGTTTGTCTCATTAGATATTTTTTTTTTTTTAGTGTTTCTTTTTTCCTTTCTTTTTTTTTTTTTTTAATTTTTCCTTTTTTATAAAACCCAGGAGAAAAAAAAAAAAAGCAAAAAACATTAAAATTAAATGCAGGGCTCTTTTTTGTAGGTTTTTGGTGGCCTTTTTTTTTTCCTTTTCTTTTCAAGCAACCCCTTTTCCTCCTCTTGGGGAAAAAAAATCTGTATCCTACAGTGGCATTCAGGCGTGGAGAAACGTTGGGGGTGAGGGGGGGGGGAGAAATGGGCGGAATCGGTCAGGAAGCAGGACAACCAAAACCAAGCGCCCCCCCCCAAAAGTAAAACTCTTCAATTGTTGCATATTTTCCTTACCAAAAAAAAAAAAAAAAAGAAAAAGAAAGGAACAAAAAAGTAATCCTTAAACGACAAGAGGAACAATTGTGCCAGAGATTCGAATCTGCAGCTTCTCCACTCTGGGACAGCCAGATCCACCCTTCTGGTTCAACTCTTTCCTTCAACAACCACCCGAAAATAGGGCTTCTTCAAAACAAGGACAAAAAAAAATAAAATAAAATAAACCAAACACATTGGTTTTCCTCATATTAAAATAGGCCTCAGTCCATCTGTCTGTCCGCACGGAGTGGATCTGGTCCAGCTCTCCCCCTCCCCATTCCACCGCTTTGGTTCCTTGGTGAGTAGAGTCTATTGCCGGTTTTGTTGGTTTTTTTTTTTTTTTTTTTTTACAAAACTGTTTTTCTTTGCAAAAGAAAGAAACGAACGAAGAAAAAGAAAATTCGATCTTCTAGATGCAGCACAAATCAAAGAGGCGGCGGCCGTCTCCTTCGGGGCAAATGCTCGGAGCAGGGCCGCCTGGCCCAGCTAAAAAGAGAGATGGGTTCACTATGATATTTGGGTCCTGTTCCCCACCCCCTGAAGCCAGCCAGCCAGCCAGCCAGCCTCCGCCTGAGGGCAGGATCAGAGCTACCGCCCCCTACAGGAGAAGGGCCTCATATCCTATTCCCTGCCCTCTAGCCAGCCAGACCCTGCCCTGAAGCCGCCCTGCAGCTGGTGCCTCAGAGAGGGGAAAGGCCCCATATCCTATTTCACTCTCCACCTCCAATCCCACCCTGAGCCAGCCCATTCCCTGCCTTAGGGCCACAGCCAGCACCCCCCTGAGGGGCAAGCAGTCATTCCCCGACACCCCCCCACTCCCAGGCCTTACCCGACGTTACTTGCTGTATTGATAGGTGTAGGCAGCCAGCCACTTGGCTCTGCTGGCTGCTGTTCTCCTGAAAGGCAGCCAAGCCCAGGGAGGTTAGAGGGGTGGGTGACGCTGGCCTGGCCTCCCTGCTTGGCCCGGCCTCTCTGCCTGGCCCCTGGTCCTCAGCAGCGGACAGGAGACCTGAGAAAGTGTCCGTGCAGCAAGAAGCGCTGAGCGAGGCCTTACCAGCCACTCGACCATGGT